AACAATGGTTCCACTGTGTAACTTTAATAAAACTATTCAACTTCAAAGAAGAGAAGTTTCTCATATACAGTGAAATTTAATTGCTAAGATTTTGATTTGAAACACTGAATAATATGTAGCTGAAATATTTGTATAATGCAAAAAGGATGGTATGGACCAAACAGCACCTGTGACACAGGGCAAGGTTCAAGCTAAACCATGTTCCAGAACAGTAATAAACTGTATAAAGTGAAATACAATGTTCAGACAGTATCATAAACCTCAGAAATGAAATTTGAATTTGTTAATGCTATTGGAAGGGAGTTTTGTGCACCCCTGAAACATTCTCAACTTCTGTTGGAACTTAGAATCTGTTTTCGGATTTAATTAAAGGACATGATCAGATAACATTACAACATACAAATAATGGCACATAAGACATGAAACCTGCAAAAAAAAAGGTGCTGCATACTTCCCCCTGTTGAGATAACCATAGATTTATAAATCCTATACACTAATGAAAATAAGTACTGAAAGAGTTAAGCCACATATCAATGGATTTGTTCTCCAGTGCAGAGAAATTATTTAATTATACTTTCTGGAAATTGAGATTAAAATGTTTTGAAATTGATGATTGACCGAGAGTAGAGAAACTCTGAATAGAAGCTTTGAATAATTTCATAACAGTTAAATCAGATTATTAACTGGTTTGCCAAGCTTTGATCGGCCCGAGTACTTGTCTGTCTAGTCCAAGATTCAAAGTCCTGGTTCCTAACCTCCAAAACCTGCAATTCACCTTTCTTTCCCCCCCATAAACCCTTCAATTTATTCCCTCCCTCTGAGCCTCCATGGTCTTCATCAGGAATATGTTGTTGGGGCTTTAGGAGCCTGAACTACTATTTTTGATTGTGGTCATTCAGATTGGACTGTAAGGCATATACAGTTTCTCAAAACTGACAGTCAGAACTGGAAAGCCTTTGAAATCCATTCTCTCTCTTCCATCTGTAGCAGATCCATAATCTACTTTTAAATAGCCATGTCTTCTCTTATTTTCTCTTCATCATCATGAGCTTGTTGACAAATGTCACAAAAAACATAACAAACATACTGGCTATGTTGACTTTTTGGTCACACAAGCTTGCTTTTCATTTTGGGAAAAGGGCTCTCTGGATGTCTGGACATAAGTTTGAAGTCTTGTTTTGCCTATTTTACTCTCAACAAAGTACTCTGAACAAAAACATGAAAGATGTGAATATCCAGTATAGATGTTATGGTCCTTGCTACTCTGTGGTATCCATTGTCTTTGCAACTAACAATGAAGAGAAACTAAATGGGGTAGTGTGATAGAGCAGCAACATGTGACGTGGAGAATATTAAGACTTGAGTTCATGGGAGCTTAGCATCAGTTACACTACTGCAGTAAGATGGTTAGCAGAGACCAGGCAATTCCTAATGGTTAAAATTGTCGCTGAATTTGTATCAAAGTGAATCGTCTGCCTTGGCAGGAAAATATTATGCTGTTGGCTTTCAGGAGGCATGGGGTGGGGAATATCTAACATGACACGATTGCAGTGCTAGCACAGATCTGCTGTACCAGGGAGGTTGGAAGTAGTGAAGGGAGAAATGTTTGGAAAAATGTATATCAGCAAAAACTTACCCAAATAATGGGTGAGGAATTATTCATATTTTGAAAAGGAGAGGACTAAGAAGAATTATCAGTCATTACAGCATCAGTTCACATGACAATGTGTTGTGATGTTCTTTTTAACAAAATTTATATTAATGCAGAGTTCTCAATATGGTATTATTCTTGTAAGCAACTGAGATTGCAAATTCCTCTGATCAACAGCAGACAATTTAAGAGTCGTGATTTCTAACTCTGGGTGAGTCAGATGGTGTGTAAGACAGAGATTCTCGTTCATCTAGTGTTAAAAGGCCAGTTAAAATTTCTGGATATTATTTACATTTCTCTGAAATATCTGATGATGATTGACACAAGATGCAGAGGGCAGAAGTGGGAGATTTGCAGGAGGTTGATGTCGCCTAGATACCAAGGGACCATTTTCCAGCAGGGTAGCTGGGGAGGGTGCTGGCTGGGTGAAGAGAATGAGAGACTGGGGGAAAGAAAGGTCAAGTTTTTTTTTGGTTTAGGGAGTTCAAGTGCTTTTCCTGCTGGAGACAAGCAACCTTGATAAAGTGAAACATAACTGGTACTGCACAGATTGCTCCAAAGCCAGGAGTTAATATTGTGTCATGGTGCAATGCCATTCTCAGGCCATGACCTTTTCATTTTAATGTAGCTTCCACTCTTTCAGATTGAGATGTGGCAAAAATCCCTTTGCGCCCTGTTTTCATAGTTAGCCTGAGCCCTTGTCGCCAGCGTTCTGAACTGTGGTCTTTTTTCAGTCATCACACCATTCATGCCTCTGATACAAGTGACCTGACCACTGGTAATGTAGTCTTAGGTATAGACTTTTTCAGGACTTTTTCTGCTGCTCGTGACAATGATAGTAACTTGTAAAGCCTTAAAATCAAATGAAAACTTCAAGGATTTTCACAGAAATCTTGAGCTTGCGTTTTTATTTAATGCCTGGACTATATCGTGGGAAAAGTTGTCTTTGATTTGTCCCCCTTTAGATGCCCTGAGAAGGTTGTTGCGAGTGTCCCCTGAAACCACAGTATACTCCTTGCGGTGATGGTACTCCCACGATATTACTGGGTGGGCATTTGCAGGAACTTGATCCAGAAACAAAAAAGGAACACTGATATATGGACAAAGCAAGGAAGGTATATGCTGCAGGAGTGAAGGATCTACACCTGTTCCCCTTGCCCTTGTTGGTAAAACCCCAGATTTGAGGCATGCTTCTGGAGTTGCTACAGTGTATACTATAGGTGGTAGACACTGCAGCCATAGTGTGACTGTGTGTGGAGGAGGATAGATGTTGAAACTTATATTATGAGAAAGGATTATTAATAGGGTTAGCCTAATGCACAAGGGTCCACAATTCTATGTAAGCTTTCATCTCCTCATAAAGTGTTTGATGGTCCTTCATCTCAGAATTTTATAGATCATTTTTACTTTCCTGCATCAACGATGGGAATAACCTTTCTGTGCTTTTCCCCATCTCTGTTGGTGCATTTTCATTTACCTGACTGCTCAGAGTTCTGAGATTTAACAAATAAATTGAAAAATATATCCAATGATTTGTGGCAACTACTAGAACATGAACACCTGGAATCATTGGGTGATGAGTACAGGTTCCCTTCCAGTTCTCGTTCCAAGATTTTGTTGTTAATGGGGGATATTATATGTAAGTCAGTTTCTTACCCATAATTAGAAAGGGAGACAAAAAAACAAGCCACGCGAAATATCCCCAGACTGAGTCATGAGCCAGTTTATTGGAAGATGTGAGCAGCCCGCACAAGTTTCAGTTGTGTGACAAGAGAAAGAGGACTAGAGAGAAAATACTGAGAGTCATTATTTTTTAACAAGTGAATATTCTGATCACTGGATTCAGAAGCAAACCTTGTATTTATACAGTGATTTACCATATCCTCAGAAACGCTTCATAAGCCAATAGACCTAACAGTTGCCCATAGACAGTGAATGCAATAAATTATCAATTAGTATTGTTTTAAGGATTCAAAGAAGGAAGGGTTGCTGGCTAGATACCAATTTCTTCAAATAGGGCCAAAGATCTGTTACATCTGTCTCAACTACTGGAACAAACAGATTAACTAATTATATACCTGCCTTTCTAATTTGCGTACTGCAATCTTAACCTTCCTGAATCAAACCATGTTAGAATCACTTTGGTGTTTTGGAAGTAGTAGATCTTAACCCTGTGGCTGTTACTGCTGGACTTCAGAACATGAACTATTTGTTATTTATTGAGTTTCAATACCCATCCCATCCGATTCCTCATTCTAGACAATCAATTGACACTTACCCATTTTATGTTTGAATCCTCTCTGATTAAAGTTTCTCTGTTCTGTTTCATACTGACATTTCACTCTGTCTCCCTATTCTGTTTCATAGCCAAATCAAAAGTGTACAATTAATTTAAGACAGCAGGATTGTAAAGTTCACAGGTACATGGTAATGAATGATTTCAGAAAAGTACAAATTTTGAACTTCTTGAACATCTTAAATCCGTGGTGCTATGCTGCATCTGACTGTTCAGTTCTTGTTGAAGCATATTTGCTAGCTTTTTAAAGCTTTTAGTTCTGCACAGAACAGGAATAAGGTGTGCAATTATACTGTCAACATGAGACCATTGAGCCAATTAGAGAAATTGATTGTATGTTGAACACAATTGTTCCAGAACACTCCACTCTACAGAGTTCTAATGTGTAAGTGAAGAAGTACCTGAACCCTAAAACACGTTAAAAATAAATTTAGCCTCTCTAGCACATAGTGTGTCAGGAGGCTACTTTTGGGTAGTAAATATTTAAGAAGACAGTCACCTCTATGGCATAACTGTAAATTTACTGAGGTTTACTTTGAAACAGAAGTGATAAGCGAGTGTTGCACATGTAAGCTGACATGAGAAATCTCACAGCACAACACATCATGCAAAGCAAGCCAGGAACAATGAAGTTAATCATTTTACTTTAGGTCTAAGCAGTCTATTCAGAATCATGTTTTACTCTGAGCCACTCAGAGCTGTCAGGATTAAATGGTTAACATTCACAACACTTTTACAATTTAGCAAAAGGAAACTACTGTTTCAAGGCCAGTTAGAAAATGGGAAGCAGCAAAAAGGATGAGATATAAATATTGCTAAAGAAAAAAAAGCGATGAAAGACACATTGAGTTGATCCGGATTAGACAGAAAGCTGTCATGGGAGTCCCGTGCCTGAAGTGATAGTTTGAGAAAAAAGTTATTCCTGTTAAAATTACATTTTCCTAAAATCTCCTTTGATATAATCACTCTCCACTCCAGCGCCTTTTCACCATATTACCCCTTTCTTTCCCATCACCACCACCTTGCCAATAAATAAGAAGAGGTGCTCCTTACCTATGTCAGAGTTGCAGAAAGCGTCCTGGGGATGGTTTGGCATGCAAGTGCATGCCTCCGTTAGATCATTGAGTTGTATACTTGTCAAAGCCAGCAGCAGGCTCAAAGCTGCTGTGATAGAAATCGCCATTCTGTCTGAAAAGCTCGTTTTTTTTTGGAGAATGAGATGTTTTGATGAATCAAAAGTTTGAGGAATTGAACAGCACTAAGGGAAGCTATGTAAACTACGCAGCTTTAATGTTCAAAGGAATGACTGTTCATTCTTCTTCTTCTCCTCCTCCTCCTCCTCCTCTCTGCTGAATGAGAGAATATAACTACCTACCATGTATTAGACAAGTGACAGAATAGTTCTGCCCACCCCCTTAATGTAGCAGCCAATTAACAAGTAGCAGATGGCTGTGATGTCAAAAAAGGATTGAGTGGCAGGAGTGGGAATCTGGGATATAGAATGACATATTCATGATTCTGGGATAAACAGTTGCCTTGTTAGCAATTGAAAAGGGAAAAATAATTATTCAGTAATAGTGAAAGGAACAGACCTGTAGAAACCCAACTTCAGAGTAAGAAGGAGGAGTTAAATATCAAGCTAAATTGTTAATAATTTAAATATAAATAGACTGGCATTGAAATCAGCCCTAACTTTGTTCTTCCACCTACTGCATCCTCCCACACCTTTTTTTCAAATTTCAATGGATTGTGATAACACTGAAGAATTTGGGACATCATTGTGTACACATGACAAAGATGAAGAGAGTGAGAGGGTGGGAAAGCAAGGTGGGGAGAATTACATTCCAGTTTGATTGTGTGTCTCCCAGCAAGTTAACAATGACGGGAAGGAATGAGATTAAATATTTGCAAATTGAGGAGTGGGAGCCCTTTCTGAGACATCTGCGGTACAGAAATCAGAATGTTAGCTGGATCTGATGTGGTCGTTTTGAATGTCTGGTTGGGACAAGAAATAAAGTGGTTCCTGAGGTTAATTGAGGTTAGTTTCTTGAGGTTAATAAATGAAGAACAGCGTGTTTTCCATAATGTGTGTCATTGTCCATAATGTCTATGTACTTCATCCATCTGCAGTGTGACTAAGTTTCCTCAGACTAAAGAATTAAATACATATATTGAGTCCACACACACTATCTTTGCCAGTTTTGTTTTGCTTTTGGCAATAAACTACAGAAAAGCTAACTCTGATATCATACACCACCCTGTTCCTAAAGTGATGGAATGTTGCTCGGTAAACAATAAATTGACCATAACATTGCCACAGTTAGTTTGTATACATGTATTTTTTTCAAATATTTGCAAGCTTAGAATGGAGCTTATATTAATACAATAATTTTATTCTTGTTTACAAATGTTTTGGGGGGCATGTGTTGCACATGGAGAATCAATGCCAAATGTGACCAGGGTTAAAAGAGGGGTGGGGCGAGATGGACTGGTGCATTCAGATGAAATTCATTGTGAAGTCATACATTCTGCCCTTATTTTTATAGTTCCGTTGTTTCTGTTGCTTTGATCAGCAATTATGCTGAAAAAGCCAAACCAACTTGTTAAAACTGTGCCTACACCCTTCCCACAGGGTTGATATTACACTGCCTCCACTGGCAAAGGGCAAAATTACATCATTATTAAAGGGAAAAATTTACACAAGGTAGTTTTCATGATAAACATCCATGAAGGGTGAAGAAAATTCAGCAGGAACATATGCAGAGAGATAAGGTCCCTATTACTAAGAAGTCTTGTGTGGTATTGTTTACAGTAAGTTTGGGGATTTTTTGTTTCATTTCAATGTGTTTATGCAATCGGTTTGAAATGATCAGTGATTGATTCTGGCTGAAATTTTACTACGATTTCCTTTAAAACTTGAATTTCTCAGTTCTGTCCATTATTTTGCAGAAATCGTAATTGTGTAACTTTCATTTTATAACATGTCACTTTGCCTACGTATTTAATTTTTTTATGATTATCATTTTTATAGATGAAAAGATGCAGCAGTGTTGTTTGAAATATTCAACAGTTGATTTTTTGATATTCCGGAACCCTGCACCAGAGAATAGAATTCAGTTGCACGTAGAGCCAACTTCTGCTTGGAACCTGGGTCAGCAGTTTGCACTGTGGTAATGATGGCCAATCATCCTGAGCTTTGCTGGTGGGAAGGGATATCTGAAGTTTTGGCATTATTGTGGAGAGGAAGCACCCAATGTTGAGTGTGAACTTGTGGATTCCTGGTGTCTTCTAGCAGCAGTAAGCCTATATTTAAGTGACATCTTTAATATGGGAAAAATCCTAAGACACTTCACTGAAGTGTAATAAGGAAGTTGACACAAAGACAAGGGAAAAATACTTAGCAAGCATGGCTGATGGCTGAGTTAATATCACTGGAATTAAAGAGAATCCTAAAAGGGAAGAAAGAGGCAGAGAAGTTTAGAAAGAAAATTACAGTGCTTTAGGATCTGGGCAGCTCAAGGCATAGCCATTAATAATGGAGGTTAAGGAAATCAAGCTGAAGGATTCGAAGGAATGCAGCATTCACTGGTATTTTAAGGCTGGAGAAGGTTACAGAGATTAGAAGGAGCAAGGCCAGGGAGAGTTTCACACACACCATCCTTTACTACCTCTGCGATGTCCAGCACAATACCATCAAATAAGTCTTCAAAACCCTCTCCACTGTAAGCATTCTGAAGGGATCATTCCCTTCCCAAAACTCTGATCCACTCCTCAGGCACATGCCAACACCCCCTCCATTGCATCTCCCTCTGTTGGTGTAAGAGAATACAAGACCAGCCTTGTTACTACTCCTTCACACCATCCTAGAACATCAAACACAACTTACAGGTGAAACAGCGATTCATTTGAAATTGCTGGAAAAACTTAGTAAATCAGACACGTCTGTGGAGAGAGACAGAGAAACATAATTATAGTTTCTGGTCACCAATATCCAGTGCAACCTGAAAAGGTAACTCAGGCGGAATTTCCAGAGCATGACCAGAAGTTTTACGAGAATGGCAGGGAGAATTTAATTGGGCCAGATGCAAAATTACTATTTCCTGACAGCAGGTTAAATTTTTGCAACCAAGTTTTCGAAGCCTTTCATGCAATTTAGCTTGTACATTTGATGGCATATCATGAATACTCATTAGCGCACCAGATCACTGGAATCAAGATCATGGGTGCAATTTTGTTAGCTAAAAATGGTAAACAAACATCGACAAGTACAACTAATATATACCTGAGGAGTACGTGTCGAGATCGATTGCTTCCTCCCTGCTCCAGTGAGTAAACCATTTATTGGCTATTTGGCTGCATGAAAAACGTGCAGCTGACTTAACATTGAATGCCCAGGAAACCTGATAGTGGCTTGATTGGAGAATAAATAACTTTGTTTAAATATTTGTTGACACTCAGAAGTCATAGGCAATTGCAATACTGCAATAGTATCACTACCTCAAGTGAATGGGGAATGTTTGTTTCACGACTCTGAAATGTTATGATACCCTGTATATTACATATCATACATTATTTTAGACACTTTGTAGAAGGTCTGCACAGAGTCAAAGAGATCTACAGCACAGAAAAAGGCCCTTTGTCCCATCACATCCAGGCCGGTCAAAAACAAGCAGCTGACTATTATAATCATAATTTCCTGAATACTTCTTAAATGTTGAGGGTTTCTGCCTCTACCACCATTACGGGCAATGAGTTCCAGATTCCCACTTTCCTCTGGTTCCTCACACCTCCCCTAAATCTTCTATCCCTTTCCTTAAGCCTATGGCCCTGGTCATTGATCCCTCCACCAAGAGGAAGAGGTTCTTCCTGTCTACCCTATCGATGCCCCTGCTAATTTTTTTACATCTCAATCATGTCCCGTCTCAATCTTTGCTGCTCCAAGGAGAACAATCCCAGTCTATCCAATCTCTCTTCATAACTGAAACTGTCCAGCGTAGGCAACATCCTGGTAAATCTCCTCTACGCCCTCTCCAACGTTGTCACCTCCCTTCTATAATGTAGATTCCAGAACTGCACAAAATACTCCAGCTGTGGTCTAGCCAACATATTATATACTTCCAGCATAACCTCCCTGCTCTTAATCTCTTTGCCTTGGCTACTAAAGGCAAGTATCCCACATGCCTTCCTAACCATTTTATCCACCTATCCTGACATCACCTGGTCCAGGGAGATAGCCATTTGCTCAGATATCAGAGTCAGAACATCAGACAGACGTGGGCAGGCTCCTCTGCCCTGGGGACCAGTCTGTACCATTCCCTGACACCTCAGCCAAATGTTAATCATAGAGTCATGTAGTATAGAAACAGGCCCTTTGGCCCACCATGTCAATGCTGACCAACAAACATCAAGCTACACTAATCCCATTTAGTTGCCATTGGTGCTACTATGCCCTGACATTTTGAGTACTCATCCAGATGTTCTATTTCTCACCCCTCCATTTCCATCAGCTTATATGTGGACACACCCAGAAGCTCGTTTTCTGCACTGTACTCAGCATAGAGTCATAGAGCACAGAAACAGACGCTTTGTCTAACGCATCCATGCCGACCAAGTTTCCCAAACTAAACTAGTCCCATTTGCCTGCGTTTGGCCCATAAACCTCTAAAACTTCCCAATATCTGTCCAAATGTCTTTTAATCGTTGTAACTGTAGCTGCCTTGACCACTTCCTCTGGCAGTTCATCCCACATACACACTGCCCTGTGTGTGAAAAAGTTACCCCTCAGGCCCCTTTTAAATCTTTCCCTTCTCACCTTAAACCTATGCCATCTAGATTTGAACTCCCCTATCCTATGGAAAAGATCTTGGCTATTCACCTTATCTATGACTCCCAAGATTTAATAAACCTCCAGAAGGTCACCCCTTAATCTCCTGTGCTCCAGGGAAAGAAGTCCCAGCCAATCCAGCATCTCCTTATAACTCAAACCCTCCAGTCCCGGTAACATCCTTGTAAATCTTTTCTGCACCCTCTCCAATTTAATAACATCCTTCATATAGCAAGGTGACCAGACTGTACACAATACTCCTAAAGTGGCCTTACCAATGACCTGTACAGCTCATGATGCAACATGATGTCCACTTACTATATTCAACACTCTGACCAATGAAGCAAGCATGCCAAATGCCTTTTTACCCACCCTGTCTATCTTCACCACTTTCAAGGAACTGTGTACCTGATCCCCTAAGTCTCTTTGTTCGACAACACTCCCCAGGGCCTTACCATTAACTGTGTAAGTCCTGTCCTGGTTTGTCTTTACAAAATACAACAGCTCTTGTCCTGACCAGTATGTGACCCTGAACATACTCTCG